TGGGAGACAATACCAGACAAGAGTAGACAATACTAGACAATGGGAGACAATACCAGACAAGAGTAGACAATACTAGACAAGAGGAGATAATACCAGACAAGAGTAGACAATACTAGACAATGGGAGACAATACTAGACAAGAGTAGACAATACTAGACAAGAGGAGACAATACCAGACAAGAGTAGACAATACTAGACAAGAGGAGACAATACCAGACAAGAGTAGACAATACTAGACAATGGGAGACAATACTAGACAAGAGTAGACAATACTAGACAAGAGGAGACAATACTAGACAAGAGGAGATAATACCAGACAAGAGGAGACAATACTAGACAAGAGGAGATAATACCAAACAAGAGGAGACAATACCAGCCAAGAGGAGATAATACCAGACAAGAGTAGACAATGCTAGACAAGAGGAGATAATACCAGATAAGAGGAGACAATACCAGACAAGAGGAGACAATACTAGACAAGAGGAGACAATACTTGACAAGAGGAGATAATACCAGAGAAGAGGAGATAATACCAGACAAGAGGTTACAATACCAGACAAGAGGTTACAATACCAGACAAGAGGTTACAATACCAGACAAGAGGAGACAATACCAGACAAGAGGAGATAATACCAGACAAGAGGTTACAATACCAGACAAGAGGAGACAATACCAGACAAGAGGAGATAATACCAGACAAGAGGTTACAATACCAGACAAGAGGTTACAATACCAGACAAGAGGCTACAATACCAGACAAGAGGAGACAATACCAGACAAGAGGAGATAATACCAGACAAGAGGTTACAATACCAGACAAGAGGTTACAATACCAGACAAGAGGTTACAATACCAGACAAGAGGTTACAATACCAGACAAGAGGTTACAATACCAGACAAGAGGTTACAATACCAGACAAGAGGTTACAATACCAGACAAGAGGAGACAATACCAGACAAGAGGAGACAATACCAGACAAGAGGAGACAATACCAGACAAGAGGTTACAATACCAGGCAAGAGGAGACAATGCCAGACAAGAGGAGACAATACCAGACAAGAGGAGACAATACCAGACAAGAGGTTACAATACCAGACAAGAGGAGACAATTGCCAGACAAGAGGGATAATACCAGACAAGAGGAGACAATGCCAGACAAGAGAGACCAATACCAGACAAGAGGAGACAATACCAGACAAGAGGAGACAATACCAGACAAGAGGAGACAATACCAGACAAGAGGTTACAATACCAGGCAAGAGGAGACAATGCCAGACAAGAGGAGACAATACCAGACAAGAGGAGACAATACCAGACAAGAGGTTACAATACCAGAAAAGAGGAGACAATGCCAGACAAGAGGAGATAATACCAGACAAGAGGAGACAATGCCAGACAAGAGGAGACAATACCAGACAAGAGGAGACAATACCAGACAAGAGGTTACAATACCAGACAAGAGGAGACAATGCCAGACAAGAGGAGACAATACCAGACAAGAGGAGACAATACCAGACAAAAGAGGTTACAATACCAGACAAGAGGAGACAATGCCAGACAAGAGGAGACAATACCAGACAAGAGGAGACAATGCCAGACAAGAGGAGACAATACCAGACAAGAGGAGACAATGCCAGACAAGAGGAGACAATACACAGCAAGAGGAGACAATGCCAGACAAGAGGAGACAATACCAGACAAGAGGTTACAATACCAGGCAAGAGGAGACAATACCAGACAAGAGGAGGACAATACCAGACAAGAGGTTACAATACCAGGACAAGAGGAGACAATACCAGACAAGAGGAGACAATACCAGACAAGAGGTTACAATACCAGACAAGAGGACACAATACCAGACAAGAGGAGATAATACCAGACAAGAGGTTACAATACCAGACAAGAGGAGACAATACCAGACAAGAGGAGACAATACCAGACAAGAGGTTACAATACCAGACAAGAGGAGACAATACCAGACAAGAGGAGACAATACCAGACAAGAGGTTACAATACCAGACAAGAGGTTACAATACCAGACAAGAGGAGACAATACCAGGCAAGAGGAGACAATACCAGACAAGAGGAGACAATACCAGACAAGAGGTTACAATACCAGACAAGAGGAGACAATACCAGGCAAGAGGAGACAATACCAGGCAAGAGGAGACAATACCAGACAAGAGGAGACAATACCAGACAAGAGGAGACAATACCAGACAAGAGGGAGACAATACCAGGCATGAGGAGACAATACCAGGCAAGAGGAGACAATACCAGACAAGAGGAGACAATACCAGGCAAGAGGAGACAATACCAGGCAAGAGGAGACAATACCAGACAAGAGGAGACAATACCAGACAAGAGGTTACAATACCAGACAAGAGGAGACAATACCAGACAAGAGGTTACAATACCAGACAAGAGGTTACAATACCAGACAAGAGGAGACAATACCAGACAAGTGGAGACAATACCATGACAAGAGGTTACAATACCAGACAAGAGGAGACAATACCAGGCATGAGGAGACAATACCAGACAAGAGGAGACAATACCAGGCAAGAGGAGACAATACCAGACAAGAGGAGACAATACCAGACAAGAGGTTACAATACCAGGCAAGAGGACAATACCAGACAAGAGGTTACAATACCAGACAAGAGGAGACAATACCAGACAAGAGGAGACAATACCAGACAAGAGGTTACAATACCAGACAAGAGGAGACAATACCAGGCATGAGGAGACAATACCAGACAAGAGGAGACAATACCAGGCAAGAGGAGACAATACCAGACAAGAGGAGACAATACCAGACAAGAGGTTACAATACCAGGCAAGAGGAGACAATACCAGACAAGAGGTTACAATACCAGACAAGAGGAGACAATACCAGACAAGAGGAGACAATACCAGACAAGAGGAGACAATACCAGACAAGAGGTTACAATACCAGACAAGAGGAGACAATACCAGACAAGAGGTTACAATACCAGACAAGAGGAGACAATACCAGGCATGAGGAGACAATACCAGACAAGTACCAACGTTCTAACATTATCTTGTTGGTATTATCACAAATATTCAACTTCAACAAAATTCCAAATATTTCCTAAACTATTTTTCACATAAATAGGAAAATATTATTTATTGCCTTTGTTTGTACGCTAATTAGTCTTTATTATTATTATGAATGTTTATATCTAAATGATTATATTACTTATTATTATCAGTCCAGTTACCAGGATCCTGGGATGAACCAAGGTTTTGCTATTATAATAATTATAATAATAATAATAATAATTATAATAATAATTTCCAGGATCCTGGGATGAACCAAGGTTTTGGTATAATAATAATTATTAATAATAATAATAATAATAATAATAATAATAATAATAATAATTATAACAATAATAATAATAATTATAATAATAATAATAATAATAATAATATAATGATAATAATATAATTATAATAATAATAATAATAATAATAATTATAATAATAATAATAATAATAATAATAATAATTATTATAATTAATAATAATAATAATTATAATAATAATAATAATTATAATAATTTATAATTATAATAATAATAATAATAATAATAATAATAATAATAATAATAATATAATAATAATAATAATAATAATAATAATAATAATAATAATAATAATAATTATAATAATAATAATAATAATTATATATAATAATAATAATTATAATATAATTACCAGGATCCTGGGATGAATCAAGGTTTTGGTATAATAATAATTATAATAATAATAATAATAATAATAATAATAATAATAATTAATAATAATAATAATAATAATAAATTATAATAATAATTACCAGGATCCTGGGATGAACCAAGGTTATGTTATTATAATAATCATGTATAAGCATTTACATGCATATATATACATACACATATCAAGGTTTTTCTCCTTTTTTTTAATAGCTCTTGTTCTTTATTTCCTCTATTGTCCTCTATTGCGTGTCGTATAAGGCGACTAAAATGCCGGGAGCAATTGGCTAGTAACCCCTTCTCCTGTACACATTTACTGAAAAAGAGAAGAAGAAAAACTTTATAAAACTTGGAATCAACGTGGTTGTAGTGCGGATGATAAGAAAGAGATGATTGTTGATGTTATGAATGAAAAGAAGTTGGATGTCCTGGCCTTAAGCGAAACAAAGCTGAAGGGGGTAGGCGAGTTTCAGTGGGGAGAAATAAATGAGATTAAGTCAGGAGTAGCTGAGAGAGTTAGAGCTAAGGAAGGGGTAGCAATAATGTTGAAGGACCGGTTATGGAAGGAGAGAAGGGAATGTAAATGTGTAAATTCAAGGATTATGTGGATTAAATAAGGGTCGGATGTGAAAAGTGGGTCATAATAAGCGTGTATGTACCTGGAGAAGAGAGGTGTGTAGAGGAGAGAGAGAGATTTTGGGAGATGTTAAGTGAGAGTAATTGTGGTAGGAGACCTAAATGTTAAAGTAGGAGAAACATTTAGAGAGGGTGTGGTAGGTAAGTTTAGCATGCCAGGTGTAAATGATAATGGGAACCCTTTGATTAAACTTTGTATAGAAAAGGGTTTAGTTATAGGTAATACATATTTTAAGAAACAGAGGATAAATAAGTGTACAAGATATGAAGCAGGGCGTAATGACAGTAGTTTGTTGAACTACTATTGGTAGATAAAAGACTATTGAATAGAGTTCAGGATGTACATGTTTATAGAGGGACCACAGATACATCAGATCACATTTTAGTTGTAGCTACAGTGAGAGTAAAAGGTATATGGGATACAAGGAAAATAGAAGCAGCAATTAAGAGAGAGGCGAAGGCCCTTTGTCAAAAGGCAAAGAGGACAAAAGAGAGTGCAAAAATTATAGGGGAATAAGTCTGTTGAGTATACCTGGTAAAGTGTATGGTAGAGTTATTATTGAAAGAATTAAGAGTAAGAGGGAGAATAGGATAGCAGATGAACAAGGAGGCTTTAGGAAAGGTAGGGGGTGTGTGGACCAGGTGTTTACAGTGAAACATATAAGTGAACAGTATTTAGATAAGGCTAAAGAGGTTTTTGTGGCATTTATGGATTTGGAAAAGGCTTATGACAGGGTGGATAGGGGGGCAATGTGGCAGATGTTGCAGGTGTATGGTGTAGGAGGTAGGTTACTGAAAGCAGTGAAGAGTTTTTACAAGGATAGTTAGGCTCAGGTTACAGTATGTAGGAGAGAGGGAGATTATTTCCTAGTAAAAGTAGGCCTTAGACAAGGATATTTGATGTCACCATAGTTGTTCAATATATTTATAGATGGGGTTGTAAGAGAAGTGAATGCTCGGGTGTTGGCAAGAGGTGCGGGGTTAAAAGACAAACATTATAACACAAAGTGGGAGTTGTCACAGTTGCTCTTTGCTGATGACACTGTGCTCTTGGGAGATTCTGAAGAGAAGTTGCAGAGGTTGGTGGATGAATTTGGAAGGGTATGTAAAAATAAGAAAATTAAAAGTGACTATAGGAAAGAATAAGGTGATGAGGGTAACAAAAAGATTAGGTGATAAAAGGTTGGATATCAGATTGGAGGGTGAGAGTATGGAGGAAGTGAGTGTATTCAGATATTTAGGAGTGGATGTGTCAGCAGATAAGTCTATGAAGGATGAGGTGAATCATAGAATTGATGAGGGGAAAAGGGTGAATGGTGCACTTAGGAGTCTATGGAGACAAAGAACTTTGTCTGTGGAAGCAAAGAGAGGAATGTATGAGGGCATAGTTATACCAACACTCTAATATGAATGGGAGCATGGGTGGTGAATGTTGCAATGAGGAGAAGGCTGGAGGCAGTGGAGATGTCATGTTTGAGGGCAATGTGTGGTGTGAATATAATGCAGAGAATTCGTAGTTTGGAAATTAGGAGGAGGTGGGGGATTACCCAAACTATTATCCAGAGGGCTGAGGAGGGGTTGCTGAGGTGGTTCGGGCATGTGGAGAGAATGGAACGAAACAGAATGTCTTCGAGAGTGTATAAATCTGTAGTGGGGGGAAGGTGGGGTAGGGGTCGGCCTAGGAAAGGTTGGAGGGAGGGGCTAAAGGATGTTTTGTATGCAAGGGGCTTGGACTTCCAGCAAGCATGCATGAGCGTATTTGATAGGAGTGAATGGAGGCAAATGGTTTTTAATATGTGGCGTGCTGTTGGAGTGTGAGCAAAGTAACATTTATGAAGGGGTTCAGGGAAACCGGCAGGCCGGACTTGAGTCCTGGAGATGGGAAGTACAGTGCCTGCACTCTGAAGGAGGGGTGTTAATGTTGCAGTTTTGTAACTGTAGTGTAAAGCACCCTTCTGGCAAGACAGTGATGAAGTGAATAATGAAAGTTTTTCTTTTTCGGGCCACCCTGCCTTGGTGGGAATCGGCCGATGTGTTACTAAAATACTAATATTACTACTACTTCTACTACTACTACTACTAATAATAATAATAATAATATCTTTATTTACTACAAGTACATGTACAAGGTATACAGTCCTAGCTGATGTCAATGACATATTACTATATAGAAAGCCACTTGTTATGCAGAGCATTTCGGGAAAATTATGTCAGTTTTGTCTCAGGATACAACCCACACCAGTCCACTAACTCCCAGGTAGCCATTTTACTGATACCTAGAGTATACCTTGAGAGAGTTCCGTGGTCAACGCCCCCGCGGCCCTGTCTGTGATCAGGCCTCACGGTGGATCAGGGTCTAATCAACCAGGCTGTTACTTTTGGCCGGTCGCAATCCAATGTACGAACCACAGCTCGGCTGATCAGGTACTGACTTTAGGTCCCTGTCCAGTACCTGCTTGAAGACAGCCAGGGGTCGCTTGGTAATCCCCCTTATGTATGCTGGGAGGCAGTTAAACAGTCTTGGGCCGCTGACACTTATTGTGTTATCTCTTTTCGCGCTAGTGGAACCCCTGCTTTTCACTGGGGGGATGTTACATCGCCTGCCTAGTCTTTTGCTTTCGTAGGGAGTGATTTTCGTGTGCAAGTATGGTACTAATCCTTCTAAGATTTTCCAAGTGTATATAATCATGTATCTCTCCCGCCTGCATTGTAGGGAGTACAGGTTGAGGAACTTCAAGAGTTCCCAGTAAATGAGGTGTTTTATCTCCGTTATGCGCGCCGTGAAGTTTCTCTGTACATTTTCTAGGTCAGCATTTTCACCTGCCTTGAAAGATGCTGTTAGTGTGCAGCAATATTCCAGCCTAGATAGAACAAGAGACCTGAAGAGTGTCATCATTGGCGATTGGTGAACATAGACAACCGGTGTAAAGAAACAAGTCCAGTGTGTTTACCCTCATTAGGAATCGAACCTAGAGCCTCGCTATGTGAACTGAGAGCTGTAGCCACCAGGCCACAGGGCACTGTTAAGGAAAACGAGTCAGGGGCAAACTTACCTAGCTGCTCCAAGAAGAGCAACCCCAGCCCTAATTGCCATTTTTGGAACCCTGACACCTATAACAATCCAGAACATTCACATAAGAATCAGGATTTAGAGTGTGCATGATAGCGTTAATTACAAATGAACTGGGCTTGAATAACCCACAGCTACTATTAAATAACAAAAGTTTATTTGGTTTAATAATTGTAGACTCAAAAATATTTCTTTCTGGCCATGAAGTACATGGAAAAATGGCCTTTGCCACAGATCATGTAGTGGGATTATTACAAGCTCATTTGTGGTTGAATATTGTATTAGATTTTTGAGCCTTCCTTACTGAGTACTGGTATTGTGTAGTACTAACCTTCAGAGGTTTGCAGTCTGCCTAACATTGGAAAGTGTGCTACTGGCAACCCATCCTGTACACACAACCTATACCTGTTTTGGAGAATTATGATTAAATGATAAATTCTCTGAATATGGTTAAAACATACACATTTCTTATTATGAGGGGATTATTTCTACGTTCAGTCAGTTGATAAATTTTTCTAGCTGCCAACAAAGCAGTCTCTACAAACTCCTTAGGGTAACAGTTTTGTAGACAATGTCAAAGATTTTCCAAATTTCTCATCCAAGAACTCAGGGCTACACACTCTGTAATCTCTCATACACATAGTAAGGAAGGCACTCTTTTTTACTTTGGTTTCTTGGTTGGAATAATAGTGGATATATGAACACACGTTTGTGGCCTTCTATATCTGTAAACTTAAACATTCTATTAAGTTCCAAATAATTCGGCCAAAGACACAAGATATCATCGACATATTTGAACCACTTAGGGGCGACCACCACACTAAACGGTGTACTTACTTCATTGCTTATTACTGATGTCTTTCATTTTTGGTGAACTTTATGAAGCATACATTATCTAAACATTAAGTTTCAATAAGATAGTCCCAAAAAACAACTGATAAAAATTATTTACTGAAAATGACATTAGGCAGCTACGAAAAGTTGTTTGGGGACTTACTAATGATAAAACAATGCTAATCCGATTTTCTCATGGATGCAAATATTGTAAATATCTTTATTACAAACCAAAAAAAAAATGAACTTGGTAGGTTTTTTGACATTTAGACAAAATATTTGCCCTTCAACCCCCCCTCACAAATCCCAAAATATTTGGGATATTTCAAAAATTCAGCCACCAGTTAATAAAACATTTATTGCTTTATGCTCACTGTGAAAATCATTTCAAATAATTCTTTTTTAATGGAGCACTTACAAGAAATAAGTGAATAACTTCTGAGAATTCAGTGAAAATGTATGCATAGCTGGTACGTTAGAATGTTTTTTTTTTTTCACAGAATGCTCAATAGAGGAGACAATGAATTTCCCATAGTCATTCTCTGCCGTTGAGAGTAATACTTCCCTTCAAACTCAAACTTGCAATCAATCACACACAACATACTCAACCCAATAATAATGTTATCAAATAGCATGGGGAACTCATCTAGTTCTTCTTCCACATACGCTAACAAATCAGGGACTGGTACAAAGGTGAACAAACCTGTGACGTCAAAACTTACTGGCGTAAAATCATTAGGCATGTTAAAATTTCGCAATTATTCAATGAGATCAACATTGTTTATTTGTGAGCTTCCAGATGTTGCGAGTAATGGAGTTAATATTTTACCAGCCATTTTGACAAAGCATAGGCCGCCATCCTACAGAGCTAATAATAGGTTTCACTGTTTTTCAAAGCTAGGTTTGTGTATTGTAATCAATCCGTACCTTACGATAACTGTTTAATCAGAGCCTCATTACCTTTCAATAAGGTTCTAACTTATTTATTAAACTCACTATTAACCTGATCCATTGGGTTCATATTAATAGGAACCACTGGATCAGGTTAATAGTAAGTTTAATAAACATACAGGCAAACCTCTAATGGTTAGAATTAGACAATGCCAATACTCAGTAAAGACGGCTCAAGAATCTAATGCAATATTCAACCACACGGAGGTCTTCAATAATCCGACTAAGTGGTCTGAGGCAAAGGTCATTGTTCCATGTACTTCACGGCCAGAAAGAAATATTTTTGAGCCTGCAGTTATTAAACATGATAAACTTTTGTTATTTATTGGTAGTTGTGGGTCATTCAAGCTTGATTCGTTTAATGAGGCTATCGTGCACAGTCTAAAATCCTGATTCTTATATGAAGTTTAAGGTGTCAGGGTTCCACGAATAGGAATTAGGGTTGGAGTTGCTCTTCTTGGCGAGGCTTGACCTTTTGTCTACCCACTGGGTGAGTTTGCTTTGACTCGTTTTCCTTGTGTGGAATTTTCCTAAGCCAAATGCCAGACACAGCTTTTTCAAAATGTAAAGTACTTATATTTCTGAAGCTTGACTGATAATTTGATAGCCATTATGTTACCATTGCTAATTTTGCTTGTGGGCTGACTATCTTCGGTTCCTATAATGCTTAATCTTTTTGCACTGAGCACATGTGTGCCTGGAAACTGGGTACTCTCCTCCTACTCTCAGACTTAAACAAAGCGCCTCTCAGAACGAATCTGCTGAGATTTTCCTACTCATTTCTGGAGCTTTGCAAGCTCCTGATGATGCGTTAAAAGTCCTAGAGATATTATTCAATCCCCCTGTGATTGTTTTGCATACTTCCATATCTGTTTAAAATTTTGTCACCACCCTGCAATATTCTTCTTGCGTATTAACAGGGTGGCGGCTGGTTGGGAAACCCTCAGAATTTCTGCACTGGGGAGGTTTAGTGTTCTATTTGAGTGAAGGAGGGACTAGGGGACTATGCTTGTAAACACAGTCTCTATTAAAGTTCAATAAATTAACAAATTTTATTGAGATCCTTTTATTCACACTTTATCTAAGAGGTAGAAAATAATTCTCATTATCAAAGAAAAAGAAAAACAATTACATGAAACTATTTAAAAATAATGTTCACCTTAGCCTTATTATTGGTAATGATATATAACTAAAACATAACGAGAAGCTCAGGGTAACTAAACAATTAAAACAATGTTATTCACCTGTTTTTGTTAGGAGGCAAAATTATCAACAATTCCTTTAAAATTCATACTTTTGGCTCTTTCGAATTTATAGATACAATGGACCCTTGAATTTCGTCCCCTTGAATATCGTGAATTTTGGAAATCATCGACTTTTTGCGTCAAAATATTGGTTCGTTTTCGTGATTTGGCTTAGTAATTGGTGGTCGTATGGAACGCCTCCTGGTAATGACATTGCTCCAGCTCATCCTCCAGATTTGGTAGAGCAAGTGGTGAAGTGAGTTTAATTTCATCACAGTGAAGTTCTTGCCCCCTAATGCCACCCCTCTCCTCCACCCCATGGACCAGCAGATCATGTCAAACTTCAAAAAACTCTACACCAAAGCAACGTTTCAATGGTGCTTAACATAACCTCGGACTCTGAATTGACCCTAAGAGAGTTCTGGAAAGATCACTTCAATATCCTCCATTTCATTAACCTTATAGGTAAGGCTTGGCAGGGAGTGACTTCCAGGACGAAGAACTCTGCTTGGAGAAAATTGTGGCCAGAATGTATCCACGACAAAGATTTTGAAGAGTTTAAGGCTGACCCTGACAACCCTATGTCAGTTGTGGAACCTACTGTGGCATTGGGGAAGTCATGGGGGTTGGAGGTTAGTGCGAGGATGTGGAAGAGTTGGTGGAGGACCACAATGAAGAACTAACCACAGAAGAGCTGCTAGACCTTAATCTGCAACAGCAACAGACCACAGCTCATGAAATTGCTTCAGAGGAGGAGGAAGAGAGAGGGAAGAAGTTGCTTTCTCCAGAGATTAAGGAGATGTATGCAATGTGGACTAAGATGGAAAGATTTGCGGAGGAACATCACCCTGACAAAGCTGTTGCAGGTTGTGTATGCGACATGTTCAATGACAATGTCTTTCTGGAACAATTTTTTGAGCGACAGGGGTCCAGTGACTCTCAAGCTGGTCCTAGTGGCATTAAAAAACAAAGAAGGGAAGTAACCCCGGAAAGGACTTGGTACCTGAAGTCTTCATGGAAGGGGATTCCCCTTCCAAACAACAGTAACTCTTACATCCTCTCCGTCTTCCCGTCTTCCACACATCAACAACTCTTCAATACAGGCAAAGTTAAGTTATTATTGTTTATTCTTCATGTTATTGTTTT